AAAAGGTATCTCCAAGAAATAAGACATCCCTTTAAAAAAACCCCTGGCCAGGTAGCTCAGTTGGTTAGAACATCATCCCGATACATCAAAGTTGTGGGTTCAATTCCTGGTCAGGGCACATACAAGAAGCAACCAATTAATTCACAGATAAGTAGAACAACAAAACGATATTACTGTTTCTCTCTCTCTCTCAAAAACCAATAAATAAAAAATTCAAAAAAATTAAGAAGGAACATTATCACATACAAAAATCAACAATAATTGCTTAATATCACAAAAAACTGAGGTAGTATTCAAATTTCCCACACCATCTCTCCTTTTTAATTTAAAAAATTTTTCTTTTTTGGGAGCAGCTTTAGGTTTACAATAAAATTCAGTTGAAGGTACAGGCATTTCCTATACACCCCCTATTCTCACACATGCATAGCCGCTTCCATTATCAGTATCACTCCCCAGAATAGTACTTTAAAAAAAAAGATGGCCCTGGCTGGTGTGGCTTAGTGGATTGAGCACTGGCCTGTGAAGCAAAAGGCTGTGAGTTTGATTTCCAGTCAGGGCACATGCCTGGGTTACAGGACAGGCCCCCAGCTGGAGTAGGGGTGTGTGTGAGTGGCAACCAACTGACGTGATCTCACATATAGATGTTTCCCTCTCTTTCTCACTACCTTCCCCTCTCTGTAATAATAAATAAATTTTTTTAAAAAATAAGGATGAACCTACACTGACACATTATAATCACCAAAATTCTTAGTTTACCTAAGGGTTCACTCGTGTTGCACATTCAATGGGTTTAGACAAATGCATAGTAACATCCAAGGTCTGTCCAGAAAGTCTGCAGCCATGTGCTATGAAAGAGACACTTAAGATACAAGATACAAGAAACATTGTACATGTGACAATGACACCTCGATCCCCTTCAAAGTAGGCACCTTGGGACCTCACATAGTTCTCCCAATTGCCATCAGCTGTCCTGTTGTATTTTCCTGAATCTCATCAATGGTCTGAAATCTCTCCCTTTTCAAAGATAATTTTAGTTTTTGGAAAAGCCAGAAGTCACAGGGCTCCAAATCTGGGGTCTACGGGGGCTGAGTCACCTAGGTGACTTGATGTTTTGCCAAAAAACTCTCTAAGAAATGTGACACATGAGTGGGTGCACTGTCCTGATGAAGCTGCCAATCACCAGTTGCTCAAAGATGTGGCCTTTGGAATCATCCAAATAGTTTCCCCAGAGGAATGTTCAAGATTAATGCAAAATTTAACATAGATTCATTGCTCTACTCAGTCATTTTGAATGCCAATGGCCACATAATACACATGCTCACTCAGTGGTGTGTACCGCCTTCACTGACTAGCACAGTGAAGTCATCATTGTTCACACATGTGCATTCCAGTCCACTCTCCTTGGCCACCAGGTTACATTGATGTCATGTGCACCTTTCTTGTTATATTAACAATGGCTGGGCTTTTTCCAGATGGACCTTCGTATATCCATCATTATAATATCATACAGAATATCTTCACTGCTCTGCATATCCTCTGTGCTTTGCCTATTTATCTCCCCACCACCAGCAGCCCTGGTGACCACTGATCTTTTTATCTCCATGGTTATGCCTTTTCCAGAATGTCATGTAGTTGGACTTACATGGTTTATAGCCTTCTCAGATTGGTTTCTTTCACTAATAATACATGTTTAGAAGTCCTCCATGTCTATTCACGGCTTGAAAGTTCATTCCTTTTTGGCACTGAATAACATTTTATTGTCTGCATGTACCACAATTTATTCACTCACCTATTGAAGAAAATATTGGTTGCTTCCAAGTTTTGGAAATTATGAATAGAGTTGCTATAAACATTTGTATGCAGATTTTTGTGTAAACACAAATTTCCAGTTCCTTTGGGTAAATGTCAAAAGAATGAAACTGCTTGATTATATGGTAAGAGTATGTCTAGTTTTATAAGAAACTGCCAAAGAGTCTCCCAAAGTGTCTGCGCCATTTTGCATCCCACCAGCAGTGTGAGTGTTCCTGGTGCTCCACGTGTTCCACAGCCTCCCCAGCATTTGGCGCTGTCCGGGTTTCAAATTCTGGCCACTCTAATAGCTGTTTAGTGGTATCTCATTGTTTTAATTTGCATTTCCCTGATGACATATGATATAGAGCATCTTTTCATATGCTGACTTGCCATCATACATCTTCAGTGAGGTGTCTGCTAAGGCCTTTGGCCCATTTTAAAATCAGGTTTTGTTGTTATTGAGTTATCATTGTCTCTTTTAATCTGTGGTTCTTTCTATCTACATTTATATCTGTATCTATATCTGTATCTATGTCTATATCTATATATAATTTTGTTTTGAGAAACAGAATCACTTCTCTGCCATTTCTATAATCTGAATTTTTCTGAATGTGTCATTTCAGTGTTGTATAGGAATTCCTCTGTCCCCTGTATTTCCATTAAATGAGTAGTTAGATCTAGAAACTTGATCAGATTCAGGTTGAATTTTTTGTTTGGCAAAGTCACTTCACAGGCAGTGAGGCAGCCTTCCACCAGGAGACTCAGTTGCTCTCTTTTCGAGACATCAGCAACTATTTATGACTGCGGTGATGCATTAATGAACTAATGGTTGCAAAACAGTGATATTCTAACTGCCATCGCTTCTTCTTTTATTAGGCTTTTATGCTTCTTTGAAGGAATTTCCCCTCATCACCTATTTTATTACTCTAAGATACAATTTATATAGTGAGGCCAGAAGAATGCTTAATTTTTCCTCTACTTACCACTTTTCCAAATAAGGAAATAATTCCCTATCACCATTTAAAAGTGATCACTGAATTTTAAAAAAGTGTTATGAACTTATGTATGTGAACATATTTAATATTTTTCAATCCACTGACATCATTATATTCACTGATGCTCAAATTGTTCTGTCTTTCATGAGTGGAAGTCTATTCAGGTTGGCTCCTGAATCCTCTTGACAGGATTCTACTAGCCCTTAAAAACTTTCCTGCTTTTTGTTAAGACAAGATGGTCCAGGCTTCTTTTACAATTCCTAACTCAGACCTGAAATTAGCTATTTCTTTAAAGCAATGGTTCTCAGAGTGTAATCTGAGGACTCCTGGGAGTTCCTGTGATCCTTCCTTGGGGTCTATCAGGTCAAAATTATTTTCATAATAATACTAGTCGCTATTTGCCCTTTTTAACTCTCATTCTCTCACAAATGTGTATGAAGTTTCCCAAAGGCTGTATGGTGTATGCTATTACGAGTGAATGCAGAAGTGGTTATAAGATTCCTGCTGTCATTTATTAAGCCAGGCATTAAAGAAATTTACAAAAATGTAAAAACAGTGGCACTCCTCTCATTAAATGTTAATGGATGTTTTGTTATTTTCAAATTTGTTCTAATTTCTGATGCAATTCTAATTCAGTAGATATACCCCACATGAACAAATGCTCTTTGGAGTCTTCAACAATTTTTAAGAGTTTAAAGAAGTTTGGGGAACAAAATGTTTGAGAACTGCTGCTCCAAGGAGTCTTAGTTCCTTTTAACAGAAAATGATTCCTAGAGATCACAATCTAGGAGCTACAGACATTCGTGGTTACTTGGTTGGCCATTGTTCTTAGGCCATTCAATGAGATAAAATAATACATACGTACGTATTCAAACTAAAGACTATAGAATTTTTACTTAAACTCTTACATTTGTATCTCCTTTCTCCCATTACAAAAACCCCAGCATAACCATTTATTTTCAGTGTCAGATTAACAATACCTCTATTACCATCACCACCAGTAATATGATTACTTAAAATAATGAGATTTTTTTGTTGCAGTTCTTTTTGTCTTTGAGGCACATCTCTGTATAGATGTATAGTAAGTAATTTGGCAATTTAAAGTTACTTGAAATGATGTACTTTCAAGATTATGCCACCATGCAGATCAATTAGATCTCTTTGTTTTTACTTTTAATTTTCACAGGCTGCTTTTTGCAAATTTAATTTTATGATAATATGAAATGCTTACATGGCTCTAGAGTTAATTCTGTTAAATAAGATATATTCAGAGAAGTTTAGTTTTTATCCCTGTCTCCTCTATCCTAGTCCTTCTTCCCCCATAGGTAACATTTTTTAAAAACCGAGTTCTCTTTCCATTATTTAAAAAATTTAACCAAACGTATACACACACACACATACATATATGTATGTATATATATACACATACACATATATACACATATACCATTATATATAGTATTATTTAGTATTTAGAATTATTACTACCACCCTCCTTTTTTTGGGTAAAAAGTAACATACTACATACACTTTTCTACCCATAGCTTTTTTCCACTTAAAATATTCTGGAGAGCAATCCACAGTTGTATATAGAGTACTTCATTACATTGTCGTACTATAAGTATTCAACCAGTTCTCTAATGAGGAATTTGGGGGCAATTCCCATTATTGTATTATAAATAGTGCTGCAATGAATAGTTGTGCACATTCCTTTCATGTTTTTACCACCGTATTATTGGAACAGAGTCCTAGAAGTGGGATTGCTGAGGCAAAGCGTGAATGCATCTAATGCTCCTAGATATTAAACTACTTTTTACTTCTGCAGTACAGATGAAGAAACATACTGGGATAGCTGCTCAAGGCCACTTTACCAGTCACGGACACGGCTGGGATTTAAACTCAGCTGTCACGCACTCCACAAACTCCACAAATTCCTGGAAGAGGAATTCCAGGGTGAAGAAGGCAAGTAAAGAATTTTGCATTTGGAAAGTTCAATGAATCACATATTCGCATCCTTCCCAGCAGGGAAGGTTCTTATCAGAACCGCAAGTCCTCCGACTTCTTAAACTTGGTTCTCAACATCTCCTCCCCTTTGTGGCACTTTCGCTGGTGAGGAGTGCCCTTGAAAGGCGGGTGCAGAGCTTTGCGCATGCTCAGGTACTGCGCGGCGATTGGAGCCGCGGCAGGCCAGAGTGGCGTCACGACGGCGCGCCGCTCCCAGGCGTCCCCGCAAGGTCGCTTTGCCCAGCGGGAGCGCGCCCAAGTGACTAGACCCAGATCCGGGGACGCGCTGTCTCCTTCTGCCTGCGTACCAGCGGTGACATGACAGGGTACACGCCAGACGAGAAACTGCGGCTGCAGCAGCTGCGAGAATTGAGACGGCGATGGCTGAAGGACCAGGAGCTGAGTCCCCGGGAGCCGGTGCTGCCCCCTCAGAGGGTGTGGCCTATGGAGAGATTCTGGAATAAGTTTCTTCAAGACCAGGCCCCGTGGAAGAACCTGGTGAGTGACGGGCCTCCCCCTCCCCCTCCCCTCCCCCTCCCCCTCCCCCTCTCCCCTCCCCCCACCTCCGGTACGCACAATCCTCCGCGACCCCCAGCCAGCTTGCTGAGATGCCTGCTCCTTGCAGCCACACCAAGGACTGACATCGCTTTGCGCCGGCAAGTCCGGATAGTTCCCTGAGGGACAATAGGTTCAACAAAGACAAGTGTAGCGGGAACGCTGCCTTGTCCCTAGAGTGGGTGGGAGTCAGGAGTCCAGGAGCTCGTACGGCTTTGGGGGAGTCTTGCCTCTGCGTTCTAGTATGATCAGAAGGAGGCGAATCTTTGCTTAGATTTGGCAGGACACTGCACTTTTGGTTCTCTTTTGACTGCACAAATCTTCCCTCAGACTGATAGCCAAGGATTCAGTAGGTAAAATTCTATGATTTTAATATTTGAGGACACTTGGCTGATTTTTAAGGTTGAGATTGTAGATACTAACAAACACAGCCTACTACCAGAAAGCTCAATAAGCCCCTAGCTAATAGTGCAGCCCCCCGTGTGATTACCGTAGTAGACAGGGTCCTGTTAGTATATGTAATGAGTCATGTTCAAGAGCCACCTTTTTAAACTACCACCATGTACTTTTAACCAACTTTTTCATTTAAGAGAAATGCCCTTCCTGGACTTTACTCTGCAGACAATCACTCATTCAAGAGTTGTCTTTAGCTCTGGCTCGTGTGGCTTAGTGCGCTGAGCCCCGGCCTCTGATCTGCAGGTTGCTAGTTCGATTCCTGGTCAGGGCACCTGCCTGGCTTGCGGGCCGCGTCCCCGGTTGGGGGCGTGTGAGAAGCAACCGATGATGGATGGATTTCTCACACATCAATGTTTCTGTCACTCTCTCTCTCCCTTCCCCTCTCTCTAAAAAATAAATAAATCTTTTTTTAAAGAGTTATCTTTATTTTTAGGGTCTCAGGACATACTTTTGAGGTCATAAATTAAATCACATCAGTTATGAGGGATGAACACTATCAGAATTGTTCTCAACTAAGACATTGGCTGATAATGATGGGAATAGTACTAAGTAACACTTGGGTGCTTACTCTGTGTGGGTCAGTTTGCTGAGGGTTTTTATATATGTGTTACTTTACTTAATGCTTTATTCCTATAAAGTAGAAAACGATTCCTAATTCTCATTTTGAGTGAGTGGAAAATGAGGCCTACAAAAATTCAGTGATCTACTTGTCATAGAGCTAGAAATTGAAGTTCATATTGAAATGTGTGTTTCTACTTTTTTACAGTCTACAAAGTTTGGTGCAAATTTTTCTGAGAAAGTGGTATTAGATACTTATTTACGATGGTAACATTACACTCTAATTCAACCCTTCTCTAACCCTTTATATCCTTCACATTACTTGTTCATTTTGGCAGTCATTGGTTGAAAGTAGACATCCCTCCCATCAGCTAGTGATGTGAAAAAGTAAATAATCAGCCCTGGCTGGTGTGGCTGAGTGGATTGAGCGCAGGCCTTCGAACCAAAGAGTTGCCTGTTCGATTCCCAGTTAGGGCACATGCCAGGGTTGCAAGCCAGGTCCCCAGTAGGGAATGCACAAGAAGCAACCACACATTGATGTTTCTCTCCCTTTCTTTCTCCCTTCCCCTCTAAAATAAATAAATAAAATCTTTTTTTTTTTAAAAGTGATCATTCGTTGAAATCCATCTTAACTTACTTTGAGTTTATTTTTTCTTCCACAATCATATCTATTACAACACTTAGAATTCTTTTCCTGAAAGGATAAGTGTGTTTCAGTCAAATTGGCTGCCATGGAAAAGTTCCATTTTTTTAGTTCTCTTTTGCCTTTCTCTTAAAATAGTATAAAGGCATCTGAAAATGAGCTCAAAACACTCCTATGTCAGTATGTAAAACACTCTTCCAGCATCAGTGTGCTCAGGTTGTCTGCTTCACACCTGGAATGATGCAAGTGGAGTTGATTGTGGGAACTTGATAAATTAGGGAGATAAATTTATCTGCAAAATTCTGTAGGTTTGATTATTCTGGTTAAATTGATTAGCATTTTTTGCCATGTCTTGTCTTAAACTTACAATAAGGATATTTTAGAAGTTTTTTTAGAAAAATCTTTAAATGCCTTATATAGTGTTGCAAAATGCTACTTGTCTTAACGCATTTTGCCCGAACTCCAGGTATCCTACCCCCTAGAAGGCCCTATGCTTAGTAAAAATACTTGAGTGGGTGAGGTTAGCTATAGACTATAAAGAAATTTGTAGCATTTAGAAATTTTAAAACAATCATGACATTGTTATATCATTGATGGTTGGGTTTTTTTTCTTTGCCACAAATGTAACATAGAATACCTGTTTATTTTTTGTATGTTTTTCCCCCAGATCTATAAGACATACCGACACAGTGTCCTTGTTTTTACTCATGTACTTATACCTGCCTGGATTATTCATTATTATCTCAAATATCATGTGACTGTAAGTACGTTTTAAACATGTGTTTTTCAGAATTTATTTTTAATGTTGTCCAAAATGATTTTCTATGTGGGTATGCCTTACCCTGCTTTACTTAGTGGAAATAAACTGTCACTTGTAACTGATTTTGAATAACTTTGTATCCTATTAAATAAAAGGTTTAATGAAATTTAAGTATGGTTTTTCAAAAAGTTAATCTTTTTGTTGCTTTCAATTTGAAATGCATTTCCTCATAGAAACAGTGTTTACACTTGATTAGAATCTAGTGACCTAACAATAGTAGTGTAAATTCAGGATTGTGAGTAGGAGGGAGAAAAAAATTTGTTTCTCTTTTTGAGTGGACATCTGGTATAAGATAACAATTCAAAATAGTCAAAGGTTATCTTTGTCATCATTCTATTTCCCTTTCCTTTCTTCTATCTGATATTTACAACATTTTTTCTGTAGAATCCAAGATGTTCAAAAGCTTGAACTTTTTCACTGAAAGATCTTGGATGTTGTGGTTGAAATGAGCCAGTTGTCTTATTGAGAAGGCTAAACGGATAGCCTGGTGTAGGGTGTTGGAGCCAGGCATGGTGAGGAAAGAGTGCATTTCATGAGGAGAGAGCAGGGGTGGCTGCCAAGCATGGAGTGTTGTAACCCACACAGAGTAGGGGGGGTACTCTTGTACCCACTGGGGAGTGTTAGATCCTGAGTGGGTTGCTACGAGGGGAAGGGGTGTTGGTGAGTACACCTGTTTGGAGAAGAGCAGTGGCTGCAGCCTGATGTGGGTGGGATATTGGAAGGGTGATTTGGGGCAATGATGGAGGTGGCAGCACAAAATAAAATGTCAGAACCTGAGTGAGGGGAGGGTGTTATTTATACTGGAGTGTGGTGGTGGTGACAGGAGATTAGTTATACACAGAACATTGGTCAAGTAAATACCTAAGTCTTGTATATTGATGATAGGGGTACCCAGGTTCCCATTGCCAGGAACTGGAAGTCGAAAAAACTCTGTGCTACTGGGATGGAATTGGAAGCACCGGTGTGAACTTGTTTTTAGTACATATTGACAGATATAGAAGTAAGTATAGGTGTCAGTGTGTATATTCTCTAGCTGTGTCCACTGACAGCTCCTGGTGGCAGAGCTGCCCCATGGAAATTAGCAATGTCTAGCGGCCTGGTCTTATTTTCTAAATAAAGTGCTTCACTGAAAGAGCCAGAGCTCTTTGGAGAAATGGCCAGTTCCAGGGCTGGGGCAGGAAAAATACAAAATTGGCTTTTTGTGCCACAAAGTAAAGAACTGTTCAAAGAATGATGGAGATATATCAAAAAGACAGAGTAAACTTGAAGGAACTCACATTGGGATAATTTGAGCATCAAACTATATAATGATAGTAATAGATGATAGACAATCTAATATATAAAATATAAATCCATGAGTCCATCCTCATATAATTAAGAATAAATGGGGAAAAGACAAAGCTTCTTTGTTTAATAGATTGCTAAATAATAAACAGTCAAGGAATAATAGGACCAGAAAAATCATCATTTGAGTCATCATAGTAATATTTTATTCAGCCAAAGAACATCAAAAGACACTAAGATTAATCTCAAAATACCTATTTTCAACATATTCATTTGTTACAAAGGGAAAAAGGTAATTTTGTGTTAGAGAAGCCTGGCACAGACCACGGTAATCAAGAAATCTAAATTAACATTACTAATAATGGGACAAATTGTGTGCTACTTGATAGTATGCAATAAAAAGAAAACAGCATCAGTTTTGCAATATTCCTGCCAAAAACACATAACCTGAATCTAATCATGAGGATACTTAAGACAAATCTAAACTGAGGGACTTTCCTGCATAATTGACTTACTGCCTTTAAAAGTGTTCAAGTGGTGAAAGTTAAAGATTAACTAAGATTCATTCCAGATTGAAAAAAACTAAGTAGGCTTGTCAACTAAATGCATTTCATATTAATAGGCCATAATCTGCTTAGTCAAAAGATTAAAGATGGTATTAACAGTCAAAATTTTAAATAGCCTAAACAATGAAGAACAAGTCCAGTCAGATGGGATTTTCTGAGAACTTCAAACAATTATGGAAACAATTGGTAAAATTTGAATGGGTTCTTTAGAGAAGGTAGAAGATAATAGTGTATCAATGGTAATTTCCTGATTTTGATGGCTTTTGTGAGTGTTTTAAGAATATTTTCCTTATTTGTAGGAAATATCCTAAAGCAATAAACCGGTCAGCAATTTACTGTGAAGTAATTCAGTAAAAAAATTATTTTTATAATTCTTACAACCTTCTGTAAGTTTAAAATTATTTCAAGATAAAAACAAAAGTTAGGGACTGCCTAACAAATTGTAGGTAATCCAGCTGAAGTTAGCCTATTGAAAGGAGAGAAACAAATAACTGGGGTTCTCAGAAAATTCCCTCTAACATGACTGGTCCTCTGTTGATTGGATGTCTCCTTAAAATTCTGACCACTGACATCATCTTTTTTCTTTTCACTAAGCAGATATATCCATTGATCAACAACTATGCAGTGCCTACTATGTTCTCTTCCTTTACTGCCATCAAAAATATATAAGACAAAATTCCTGACCTTTAGGAGTTTATAGTACAGTTGGAAGATAGGTGTGATTTGGGTAAGCCTGTGCTGGAGAAAAGCTATTCCAGTTAAAAAGAAAGATAAGGAATCAGTAATGGTCACGACCATATCTAACCCAAGACTGAGAAGGTATCTAGAATAGCAGGTCTTTTGGCTCAGTAGACTGGGGCCAGTTAATGGAAACTCTTGAAAGCTAGGCACAGGGGGTTGAACTTTATGTGGTAGGCAGTGGGAAGTTTTCCATTTTAAACAGGAAAGTGACAGTAAAATGATACATTTAGGAAAATAAAAAAACATTGATACGTGGAGTGAATTGGAGGGAGGAAAGTAGTACTGACATCAGGCAAACCAGCTGGAGGCTGTCACCATTTAGTAGGTATTAGTTGATGAGAATTTGGTTAGCAGGAATGGAAAAGTGAAGGCAGGAGATACTTTTTAAGGAAGAAATAGCTCAAGTTGGGGGTAAAACCAAAGTTCAGAGTCATTTATGACTAAAATTCCTCGCCTTGGAAATTATAAGTAGGGTGTTGTAAAGGAGGGTTTTCTGGTCATTGGGAGGAAGGAAAGTTGTTTAGGAACATGTGTTTCCACAGTAGTTTCTGGGCATGTCCCAGTGGATGTGGCCTGTCTTATGTTTAAAAATATGAGATTAATGTAGGAATTAGAGTTGGGGTTTAGTGTTTTCACTATATACCCATACACCAACAGAAAATCTTAATGCAACCATTAAAGGGGATTACCAATTTATATGTCTAAGGGTGAGAGTATAGTTTATATTTCTGTTGTTGATGGGCTTAAACAGTTTTATATATATGTTCACCTGCAAGTCTACAGGCCACTTCATATCATTATAGGTCTGTGTTTTTTTTCAGTCTTAACATGTAGGACCCTAGAAAAGACAAAATATTACCATACTTTACCATGTATAAGGCACTCCTCTGTATAGTGTACATCCATGTTTTTGGCCGAAAGTTTCAGGAAAAAAATCTTTTATTTTAATATTTTAATTCAATTTTTTATTTATTTATATTTACAAACAAAACTGATTATTGTATTCCAGGGTATTATTTTGCATACAGGTATCTTTATTGCTTTCTAGAGTTACACTTTTAATACAAAAGCATAAATAAAATAATTTAAAACATTTTTGTAGATACAGAATTAGTACTACCCATGTATAATGCACACCCTTATTTTTCCCTCAAATGTTTGGGCAAAAAAGTATGCATTATACATGGCAAAGTATTGTACTTTCTGTCAGCTTTTTTTAACATCCAAGAGTGGTATTTATGTGCAAAAGAACTGTTCACAGTTATCTGGAGTATAAATATTCAATTTGTTAGTATAAAATTAAAAAAACTTTTTTCTGATTCTTTAAATTTATTTTTAAAATTCTGTTCAACTGCTTATAAAGCTAGTGAAATACAGTCTCCTTTCTTTGTTCTTACTATTTTTAGATCAATCCCAGTTGAACACTCCTAAAATAATTCCACTTACAAACATAATCAAATTCTCTTAAATGTTTTAGACTGCATTTATAAATTTTACATATTTTATTTTTAAGTATTTATAGGCCAGCCCTGGCTGGTGTAGCTCAGTGGATTGAGCGTGGGCTGCAAACCAAAGGGTCACCATTTTGATTCCTAGTCAGGGCACATGCCTGGGTTGCAGGCCAGGTCCCTGGCAGGGGCCATGTGAGAGGCAACCACACATTGATATTTTGTTCCCTCTCTTTCTCTCTCCCTTCCCCCGCTCTAAAAATAAATAAATAAAACCTTTAAAAAATATTTATAGGGCAAATTAATGACCCTAAGGAGCAAAATCTTTTTAAACTTAAAATTACAAGTCTAAATCAATTATGCATTTCTAACTAGAATCTTAAAACTAGTGTTTTAAAACCAGATTACCTTACACATTACAAATACTGTAAATAACAGAATATATGGGTTGTCCCATTGTTTTTGGAAATGATGGTATTTGACATTCACCTGTTTACTCTGGATTTGATTTACTTTGTCATATATATTTAACTAAATTTTTCTAGAAGCACATATAACAAGCTGCAGTCACTAGGTCAGCAATTCAAAACAATATAGTTGCTTATCTGAGGAATTCAAACTTCCAGGTGATTTTTCCTGAGTCAAAGATGTTAGTAGGGCCCTGGCTGCTGTGGCTCAGTGGATTGAATGCTGCTGGCCTGCGAACTGAAAGGTTGCTGGCTTGATTTCCAGTCAGGGCACATGCCTGGGTGGCTGCAGGCCACGTCCCCAGATCGGGGCATGGGAGAGGCAACCCTGTATCTCTCACATGTTGATATTTCTCCCCCTCTTGTTCTCCCTCCCTTCCCCTCTCTCTAAAAAAGTAAATAAGTAAAATCTTTTAAAAAAATGTCAGTAGGGCTCTTTTGCCTTATATTCTCTTGATGTGGGTAGGACTGCATCCTTAGTAACCTTTGCAGCCAGTTTGCTTCATCTAACACCTTTACTGCCTACGTGAATTTTACTTTCTTTGATGACATTTCACTGTCTTATTGCCTCGGGCCTGAGTTCTTAAAGACATTTTAATGTTTTTATGTGGTTTCATGTAAAATGTTTTGTTTATTTATTTTAATCCTCATCTCAGGAAATGTTTATTGATTTTAGAGAGAGATGGAGCGGTGGGGGGAGAGAGAGAGAAAGAGAGAAAGAAACATAGATCTGTTGCCTTCTACATGCCCCAGCCAGGGATTGAATCCTGACCTGGAAGCAAACCCGAAACTTTTTGCTGCATGGGACGAAGCTTCAACCAATTGTGCCACCTGGCCAGGGCTGTATTATGTAAAATGTTTTCAAAGACACTTTAGCCCTGACTGGTGTCGCTCAGTGGGTTGGGTGTCCTCCCACAAATCAAAAGGTTCAATTCTCTATCAGGGCACATGCCTGGGTTGCGGGCCAGGACCTGAGTTGGGGTCATGTGAGAGGCAACACATCAATGTTTCTCTCGCACATCAATGTTTTTCCCCCTCTTCCTGTCCCTCTAAGATTAAATAAAATCTTAAGATAAAACATTTCTATTTTAAAACAAAAAGACACTTTAATGTCCTCACATTGTATTCTAAGTTTCTCTCATGCTTATGGCTTCAATTTCTCTGAGTTTTACATCATGCAAGTAATGAAATTTTTTTGGTTTGGTATTTCATTAAGCAGATGTATATGCTTAATAAGTACATTTATTTTATAAATATTTATTTAGTTCCTCCTGTGTGCAAGGCACTGTTCTAAACGCAGGGATTCAGCAGTGAACAAATCATTGAATCCCTGTCTTCATGAAATGTTTAGTCTTGGAGAGTGGCAATAAATAGGTAAACAAAGAGGTATGTAATGGAGGTGCTAAGTCTGTAGAAGAAAAACTAAGCAGGGTAAAAGTCTAGAGAATGACAGAATCTGCTATTTTAATTAGGCCTTTCTGAGGAAGTGCTTCTTGAAGAGAAACATAAATAACATGAAGATATTGAACAAAGCAGATAACTAGAAGTGCCTTTCAGGTAGAGGAGTCATTAAGTGTAAGGGCTCTAAGGCTCAGGCAGGTCCAGCTGATTGGACTAACAGCAAAGGAGCCACCATGACTGTAGTACAAGGAAAGTGAGAAAGGTAGGAGCTCAGAGATGTAGCTGAGGTCCAGACTGTGCAGGGTCTTAGAGATCACCGCCAGAATTTGGCCTTTTGTCTCTAAGAATTAAGAAACTTTGAGCAGAGGAGTGATACATCTTAAAAGAATCACTCTGGTCTGCTTGCAGTGTGGAGATAGGAGGACTCGTAGCTGAAAAATGCTAGAGGCTTGGACAAGGATAGTAGTAATAGAGGTGGTAAGAAACAGATTCTGTCAACAGATTATAATCTCAACAGGATCTGCTGAGGAGTCAGGTTTTGGCCTCCTTAATTGGGAGAATTAAAGGGTCATATACTGATAGGGGCTAGTGGTTAAGTTTGAGATACCTGTTTCACAACCAAATAGAGATCTTGAGTAAATGGTTGTATGAGTCTGGAGTCTGGTGAAAATTTGGGACTAAGTTAAACATTTGGGATATGATCTATTTTTTTAGAAGAGACTCTAAATCCATAATTAACAGAGCATTACTTTTATTTCAGACAAAACCATATGCCATTGTTGAAAGGAAGCCCAGAATATTCCCAGTAAGTCTTAAAACATCTCTGATTTTTCTTTTGTTCAGTTTTCTTTCTCCTTTCCCTCTCCAAGTGATTGTTAAACTAAAATGTTCCTTTCTTCTCACTGTCAGTTCAAGTGCCTGTTTTGTGTATTCTTGTTCAAAAAGGAAAAAAAAAAGGAAATAGTGTGAGGTAGCAGTTACAGTTGAAATGTGAGGTGGACACATTTCTTTTCAGCTTGTTTATAAAACTTGTATGACTTTTGTAGTCCTAAGGTGAATTGAAGGTAGGTATTCTGTGTTTATGTACAGTTAAGAACTTAGCCTAAGCAGATACCTGAGCATGGTAATGTAATGAATAGTAATAGCAACTGAATTCCTGTTACTATTTCCAAACCATTATTTCTCATGGCAGTTTGACCTTAATGTCTCTGTGTGTGAATTTAAAATTTGTTAATGTGTGCTTAAATTTTATAAAATGAAAAGATAAGCTATTATCCTAATTTAAAATGAGTCTTTTCAACATTAAAAGATTACACAGTAGTCAGTTGGTTGTTTGTGAAGTTATTGTTTAACATAAAAAACGTTTTTTTCTATATCTTGTCACAGATAATAAAGTACCATCAATCTCTAAGTTCTGTTATTTTGTAAAATAAAACTCAGTGTTGATTCTTAGCTTCAGTCAAATAACAGTCACAATAATCCATTATCTACTGCAACAGAAGGGAATTTCAGGGAGAACCACCAAAACTGACTAAGCTTCCAGTTGGAACTCTGCTTTAGGAAATAGTAGGGGATTTCTTCTATATTGTATTGTGTATAATTGATGTGTGTCAGGGTGTAGGTAGTCTCAAAATAGGCAATTATCTTGCTGGTTTCACCAGTTCGGGAATTTATTTATTCTTCCATATACATATTCATTATTTCTTTCTTTCAATAGCATTTCTCCTACTTCTCTATTTTTTGCCACTGTGGTTCTTTCTGTTTCTGTGCCATTGACCCCTTTGAGAAGCTTCCCATTTGAGGACCTGAAGAATGCTCATTTGTACACAGAATAGAATAAGTAGTAAAAAACACCCCTAAATCTCCATGACTTAACAAAACAAAGGAAACAATTTCTTATTGCTATCACAGACAATGTGAAGCAGGCAATCTTCCTGTCTTATGGTTATGCCATCTAGAATGAGGCTTCCAAAATCATATAAGGGGAAGAAAGGGCTAGATGTCTCAAGATGATTTTAAGGCCTAAACTTGGAAGTAGCTTACATCACTTGTCTTAAATCCTATTGGCCAGAACTTGTTCTCATTGTCCCAAACAGTTATGTGCTTTTCTATATTTCTCAGCCTCCCATGACTGGAATTCTGCCGTAGTCCATCCTTCTAAGCAAAATAGCTCTTTGCTTCCTTCTTCCCACACATGTACACAATTCCTTCCCTAAGGAAAATCCCAAAGTCCCATTCCATCACTGCAACCAGCCTCAAATCCAAGATCTCCAGATGATGCTTAGTAGTGTCTGTCAGCTTTAGATACAACTTCTCTTGGAGATTTGAGGATCGATGAACTAAGATGGCAAGTAAACTGTATCCCTTGTCCCCCTACCACCACCACACCCATTGTTTAGTGATGGTGTTTCAGACAGCAGAGCAGTCACTGGTTCTTGGCAATCCTGAAATTGTTGTCAAATATTATAAAGACTCCTAACCCTTGTGTATAGGTAGTTACTTGAATGGAAACTGATTTTGTCTTCTTGAAGTAACACCTTTGTTCATTGTCCTTCCTGGCCCCTGGCTGTGTCCAGGGGTTCTTCCTTTTCCATTATCAACCTTGACCACACCTAAAATGGGTACTGGGATGTATGCCCTTGTTAGGGTCCCACAGTCTTTCTATCTGCCTCCTACTCACAGAAGGTTGAGTGCCAGAGGTTGTATTAAGCTCAGACATTCACAGGCTTTGGTTGTCTGTATGACGGTTTCTTTGACCATATAGTTCTCACAACATTTGGTAGGCATTAAAAGAAAAAAACTTGGTGAGAGTCTATTTACTTGTAACTAGTCCCACATCCATATGTACTTTCTATAGTTACCAAGTTCTCCACTTTGTCCTCCTGCAACTGCCTGTCTCAAGTCAGTGGCAGCTGTGTGGAGACTACCTGAAACAGACTCTGGATCAAAGGCCACCTTCACTTCAATCTGATCTTTACCATAGGGTTCCTCTGTTTACTGAGCTTCATCGGGCTTCTGTGTCTCAGAATGTCTTCAGTGTTAACCCTTACTATTTAGAGATTCAGAAGCAATGTGATTTTTTAATCCTGAAAGGACTTGAATTTTTTCATTCTCTTCTTTCAAATCAGTGACTTCTTGCCTGAGTTAATTTCCTAAAGTACATTCCCAAGGCAGCAAGTAGTCAAACATATATTATAACTTTTTTTACAGCTACCTCTGCTAGAACCTCAGGTTGATTAGACAGTCTGCTTCCAAGTTATTACTGCCTTTTATTTCCATCTTTTACCTTCTAATGCCAGTGTCCATACCATGTGGTTCAATTTTTCTTATAGCAGCATTAGTACCACTTCAGAGGACTAATTTCTGTGTTAGGGTAGTGTTAGCTATGGTAACAAAGTACCCCCAAAATGTGTAATGGCTTAAACATAAAAAGTTTATTTACTAGGTAACAGGTCAGGAAATGGCAGGGGTGGGGGATGGAGGATAATTCCACCCTACACAGTCATTCATGAACTGTCATGGTGACTTGAACCTAACTTGAACACAAAGTTGAAACTAAAGCTAAGTAAGTAATTTGCCTACAATTATACAGCTTGTTCATGGAGTTTCCAGAATTCTTACCACTTGGTTCTGATCTCCAAAGCCTATGCCTTTTCTGCCACACACACTGTCTAGGTTTGAAATGACACCTGTACCAAGCTACCCAGGCAAAGTGTGCATTCTGTCTCTACTATCTGGGCCAAACAGTAAACTGGTGATTGCCTATATTTAATTGCTGGGCATACATTACCTCCTTATATTGAGCTGAAGGTTATTTCCCTGTAACTTTTCTAGGGCTTCTCCTATTTTGGGGGGCCATACAAACAAACATCTCTTTATCACTCTGTGAAAGCCACTTTTCATGCCCTTTGTGGTCATTTTGTTTGAAACCTCCTCTGTTCTTTCACTTAAACCTTAAAATTTGAATACTGGTTTCTTGTCTTTAGACAGCCTTTGATTTGCCTAAGTCTCTTTTACAGTATGAATGCCAAAGCTGAACTAGATTTTTGGTGTGAGGTCTGCCAAAGTGGATACACCTCTGTAAACAAGATTTTTCTGCTAATGCATGTTTGTTTTCCTAGGGTGATACAATTCTGGAGACTGGAGAAGTAATTCCACCAATGAAAGAATTTCCTGATCAACATCATTAAAGGTTAATTTAAAATTTCAGAGGCATATGAGCCCAAGTTTTGTTGCTACATTACCATATTTACTGAATATATTTTCTGGAAAAGTAACTTGAATAAAGTGTACTCTCGGGTATGTGCCGCCTGTTTCTTCGCAAACACTGTACAATTTAAGACTGATTTATTTAAGGATGAGTAAAAACTGGACATGCTACAAAAATGATGTGAGCAATCACCCTTTTCTGACCATTCTTGACTTGGAAAACAGCATGTTGAAAAATAGTCACAATAGTTTTTTTTTTCTTACTTAGTACTTAATCTAGCTGATGTGTAGGTATGCAACAATAAAATGTTGCAATAAACAAATATAAGAATAGAAATTCCACACACTTTTGTTTTAGAGGTGGCTTTCTGAGACATTTTAAAAGAAGTATTTTAAAAACTCTAAATTGCAGAGCATGTCATTCCATCTATGATCTGATACTCAAAGGCTGTCAGATCTAGGTTGCTTTGTTATATAAGAATTTAAAAGTATTTGAGAAGTTTGCACATTGATGGTGTATTATAAAGGACTGTATGCAGGCCCTGGCTTGGCAGTTCAGTTGGTTATAGTGTCCTTCCAGTATGACAAGGTTGCGGGGTTTTGATCTCCAGTCAGGGCACATAAATCAGCCAGTGGATGCATAAATAAGTGGAACAACAAGTCGATGTTTGTCTCTCCCCCTCTCTCTCTAAAAAATCAATTAAAAAATAAAGGATTATGCAAAAATAAATTTGGAGCCCTTGTATTATGTATTTTACTTTAAATTTAGACATGTGTCAGGTAAACATGGGGTAAAGAAGTATTTACATAGAATAAAATAAGAGGAATTACAAATTTTCATTCATTCCCGAAGATTTTGTCTGGGTATTTCTTCCTTAGCAGTCGTCTAGCCGCTACTGTTGATGCGTAGATGACATACCCCCAGGAGAGTAATACGATCGCTAGGAGCAACTTTAAAAAAAAAAATAAGGGGGGGGGGAATAAAAGAGAAAAAAAATTCACTAGTAAGAGTAGTGCCGCCTCTCTGCTCCCCACTCCCATTGGTTGCCATGTACGTTGCTAGGGTGACAAGCGAATAAATAGAATTCCGGAGGCGTACCCGCTTAAGCTTTCCTTACGTAAGAAACGGAAGAGCGTGTCCTCCCGGAAGAGGCGGAGTTAAGATGAGGGAGTAAAAGAAATTCAGGAATGGGTTTGAGAGTTTCTGGACACTGAAGAAACACCTGGGCTTTAGCTCGTGGGCCTAGGGAGTTGACCGCGTGGAGCCTCTCCTGGCTCGGGACCTACCACTGAGTAAATCCAATCCAGGGCGCGGCGACTCACTGGCTTCATGGTAAGGAGGCGACGGCGGTCCGCGGGAACGGGCAGGACCTGCAGGCCCTAGAGTAACCTCCGGGGCGGCGGCTGCCGGGTGGTGGCGGCCATCTTACATCTGGGCACGAGTGCCCGCCCACTTGCCGCCAGGAGCGTTTCCCATCGGTCAGCGGGGCTCTTCCGCCCGGAGCTGGGGGCGGGTTTGCGAGATTGCGGGCCTAGCCCGCCTTTCAGGGAGGGTATTAGACAAACGAGAAAATGTTTAAAAATGGCTTTTTTTCCCCTTTTGACGCTTAGAGAGATAGGCGTACCTCGTCAACCGGTTCTTTCAGTTTCAGTGCAGTGTTAATGCAAGGTAATGTACCATCATGTGCATTTAAAAGTTTATTTGAGAAACTAATGTGTTTTATATATAACATCAGTTTAACGCTGAATTAACGTTTCTTCTCGCCTCTGTTCCCATTTCATATTGATAGTCTTTTTTATATTCATCCTTGACGTAAGCAAAAATACTACCCACATTTATATAACGGTGACGACTAGTTGTGGGAAATCCTGTTAATTCAGCCTTTTTTTTTCCAAGAAACAAGGCTTTTATAACGCAAAGGCTTGTTCATGTAAATGATAACTTGTGAGAAGAAATAACGTGGCACCAATTCCCTGGCTTAATGTCTGCCAATCAACAAGCGTTTGTTGAGCGTTTATTATGTACTTAGAACGTTAGCACGAATCAAATATTAGCTTAAAGGACGGCGGTTTAGCACGCGGGCAGGTATACCAGGTTCAGCTCTAGAATGTTTGGAACGCTCACCTCTGAGGCCAGAGAGTAGAATGAGGCAGTGGGCCGCCTTAGGCTCAGGCGCTCTTTGTACAGCTCAGATACCATCTAAAAATAGGGTTTTAATCCTAATTTCAGGGAGTGGAGAAGGGAGAGAGCAGTCTTGAGAGAAACACGTTCTGTTTTGCGAAGATTCCAAGGCTATGTCCTTTAAGGTAATCTCTTTATCCCCGGACTGGAGTAAATCTCTTTACTAGTTGGGTTCTGGTTTTGGATTCTACTCGAATTTCGGTGTTATTTCCTAAGAGGTAGCTCAGTTCTTTTATTCACTAGAAATAATTTTAGTAACTTCTCAGACTTTGGTGAGGTCTAAATAAGATAAAACTGGTTATCGTGTTTTTTGGGTAATTTAGGAGTGAACATTAAGTTTCTGCCTTTGTAACGACCAGAGATTACTGGTCACAATAAAGACTCTGATAATAGCGATTTCTGCCTGGGAGGGTCAGGTCGCTCTCCTTCCTAAAACCGGAGGGGTGGTGGGGGAAGGGAGGGGGAAAGGCCGAGCGCTCTAAGCCCCGCCCTCAGTGCCGGTGTCCTTCTAACGCGCTTGCGTTATGCCGGCGGGTGTTTTGTTTTGACGCGCCGGGGCCGCGGGGTGGGTTTGTTCCTACCGCCGCCTCCAAGCTACCATGGTGATGAACACTTTACGTCTCAGGGGTCGCAACAGCCGCTGGGGTCTCCGCTGTCTCGCGAGGAGGGTGAAACGACCCCGCGTGCCCGGGATCCCGAGGGTCCGCGGAGAAGTCGCCGGGTACGCCTTCGCGGATCCTGCCGTCACCGCCCTAGCTTCCTAAACCGCCAGGACCTTGCCTCGAGCGTACCAGTCAGGCATGCGCCGACCTTCTCCGAGGTGAGTGAGAGCGGAAACAATGGGCGCGGGGGTCGAAAGGGCTGAGGGAGCTGGAGCTGCCATCTGAAGCGAGGCCCAGAGGTGAAGGAGCAGGTCGTCTGGGTCTGGGCAGGGCTGGCAGACAGAATCTGCGGCGCACCTGTGGATTTGTGCCGGTGGGTGGGAGAGGGCTACGTTCCCAAGAAGCGCTCCCGGTGGTGCACAAACTGGGAAGACCTTGGCCTGGGTGGGGGTTTGAGGGGGAACCCAACACAAAACGTTCCACTTTGAATCGTGTCATGTCCACTGTCAGAAATGTGACCTTGGATGGGTTCTCCAACTTCTCTGAGCCTGTCTGTAAAAAGAGAAGAACAGTATTTTAGTTCATTGTGGTTGTGTAATGCACGTGGTGCTTGTCTTAAATCCTGGCCCGGAGCAGTTCTCTGCCAAAGGAAGCTACTATCACCGTGATTGTTTGGGTTGTCGGCACAATGTTATATACTGTGGGCTAGGGGTGAATTATTCTTCATCCAATTGGTGTAGTTTCCCTCATGGGCTGCAGATCCCTACACTGGAAAGGGCAGTACTGAGATGAGGCAAATGGTGATTTAAGGGGAAAAGTGAATAGAATTCTTGGTAGGTACTTTTCAAGATTAAGATAAAATAAGAAAGAGCTATTCAGGATTTTAGTTAATAGTGGTGAGGGTTGGGGGGGTTGTTTGTTTTTAGTCAATGATATGCAAAGCTATACAGTCAGTGTAAACAAACATGCTTGTCTGGAGTTCGTGGCTCTAGAGGGCAATAGTTCTCAAGCTGTTGTTTTTTTAAAATATTTTATTTGTTAATTTTTAGAGAGAGGGAAAGGGATGGGGAGGGAGAGAAACATCGATGTGTGGTTGCCTCTCGAAGGTTCTCTACTGGGGACCTGGCCTGCAACTCAGGCATGTGTGCTGACAGGGATTCTAATCAGTGACCCTTTGTTTCACAAGCTGGCACTCAATCCACTGAGCCACACCAGCCAGGGCCCAAACAATTCTTTTTATTGCTGGAATTGGAATTTTATAGGATCTGATCAAGAGATCCTATAACTTCCACATGATCTATAGTTTATGTTAAATATATGTAATTCAAATTGCAATTCAGAGGTACAGCGATTTAAGGTCATGAGATAGAACACAACTTATTTTAAAATTTAAATACTTGGAATGTATCTCCAGTTTATTCACTTGCAATCCTTTTTAGCTGCTTTGCATGGGTATATTAAGCACAATAATTATGTTAGGTAGGAAGATAAGTTGTTACAGACTGTCATCTCTCTGGGCTTTTATTACAAGTTATGGTTGATGAAAACAACCAGAAGTAACTTTATTTTCACATAACATAGGGAAATGGTATTCAGTTCTTAATGTTCATTAACCACTATTCTAAGTGTTTTTGTGGAATATATCCCTTTTCAGGTGGGTACTATTACTTAGGGTTTTAACAAATAACTTTTTTTAGATCACACAGCTATTAAGTGTTTTTATTCTCGGCCCTGGCTCTGCATTAAAATTGCTCCTGCATTAACATCACTCCTACAAGTGTAATCAGCTGGTGATTTGATTTTATATTCTGTGGTAATTTAAGAAATGCCATAGAAGATGGCTTTTATAGGAAATCTGGTCTACAAAACTCTTAGTTCTTTATACTGTACTGTATCTTTGTTTATATCACTGTGCAGTTTTTTAAATGTCCAGGCTTTGGTCTAATTTAGATTCTAGTCTCCTGCTCTGGCTGGTGTAGCTCAGTGAATTGAGTGCTGGCTTGCAAACCTAAAGGTCACTGGTTTAATTCCCAATCAGGGCACAAGCCTGAGTTGCAGACCAGCTCCCCAATATGTTTCTCTCCCTCTCTTTCTCCTTCCCTTCCCCTCTCTCTGAAAATAAATAAATAACATCTTAAAAAAATATTCCAGTCTCCTGATTCTTCACTAACCCTGAGCTCATTTTCCCCAGATACTTATGCTTGGTAATTATTTGAAATACCCCTCAAATGTGGCGTGATGGGTTCTTATTCTTGTTAAAGCCAAACGGCTTGGGTTAATCAGTTTATCCTAAAAGTAGTAAACTTTATTTAGAATTTTGGAGGCAGTTAAGAAAATGGAATCAGAAGAACTGATTTTCTTCTTGTGGAAGAATGGATTTGAAATTCTAATTCCTAAAGAGCTAGGGTAGAGCTTCTAGAGCCCAAAGCACTAAATTTACCCTCAAGCCCACCTTTGTTACCTAAACCAGAACCTCTCACAGAAACTTAAATCAGCTTCTAGTCATCCCTATTTTGTGCCACAAAGAGCTTTGTTGCAAGATAACTTACATTTCATCCATATAGTTCATCTGTTAAATATATGTAATTCAATAGTTTTTAGTATACTTAAAGAGTGCCACTATAATTAAATTGAACATTTTCATCATCCCAAAAAGAAACTTTATAATCCCTCTCACAACTCCCAGCAACCACCAATCTATAGGAGTAGGCAAAACTAGGTTTACAGTTGTGAGTACACAAAACAGTTTATTCTTGAATTATTTATTTATTATTGTATTATTTTCCATGTGCACAACTGTAGACCTTCTTTTGCCCAACCCTGTACTTTTCATCTGTAGGTTTGCCTCTTCTGGACATTTCATGTAAATGGCATCATACAACATGTGGTCTTTTGTGACTGATTTTTTTTTTCCATTTAATGTAATGAAAGGTTCATCCATTTGTAGCATGTATAACTTCATTCCTTTTTATTGCCAGATATTTCATTGTATGGATATAACACATTTTATTTATCCTCCCCAGTTGATGGACATTTGAGTTATTTCTGCTTTTGAGCTTCTATGATAAATGCTGCTAGGAATATTGAGTTACAAGTTTTTGTGTGGACATATGTTTTTATTTCTATTGAATAGATAGGTGTGCTATTGCTGGGTCATAATGGTAATTCTACTTCATTTGTATCTCAGAAATATTTTAGTTTTAGTACTATTGAGTGACAATTTTGAAGAAGTAAATCCCTTACTTGATTTACATTTATTACTCTTGTTTGATGTTTTGGATGAATGCCATTCTTTGTAGCTAAAGATATTCCTGTGTAGAAATACAAAACAGAATTCTTAATTAATTTGTTCTTTACCTGATATGAATGATATTAGTGGACATTGTTTGGACTTGTGCAGTCAAAGTGGTTAACAGGCTTATAAAACTAAGGAAGACTAAGATAACATTTTTTAAAAATCATACTTAGTTGAGCTTTTGTTTTATTTGAACTTCAAACTTACTGCCCAATAATTTTCTTTAGTAAATTCTTTCTATGTTATAATTTATTTTTTTGTTGTTCTTAAAAAATTATTTATTTTTAGAGAGAGAGGAAGGGAAGGAGAAAGAGAGAGAAACATCAGTGCGTGGTTGCCTCTCAAATGTGCTTCCTGT